TTTCACGGGAGAAACGTTGGATGTTATGTGCTGGCTCTGTGCAGATCTGGGCTCCAGCTGTTTACCCCTGGCGTAAAGAACCCTAAACCCTTTTTTGGCAACTCTATTTTGAGACAGTCCGGTGCAGAGACAGCTTATTCCGAATGTCCGCCACGCCTATCCAAAGCTCTTTTTTCGGGCAAACGTATAATTTTTATACGCCTCCAGGTAGGCTCTGCAAGGCCGCTCAGCCCCAGCTTCTCAGAAAAAACACATCCTACCGCACAGTCGCTGGCCCAGCTGGAAGAAGGCCAAGATTCAGGGACCTTGAGAGCCTTTTCGGTCCTCCTGGAGAAATATAAACAGACACAATAGCAGCCTTTTCCTGGGAAAAGCCCAACTCTGGAAAACGAATCACTCCCCTCCATTGTTCTCCTTCCAGCAATTTCCTTTTCAGCTGGTGGAGGTGGTAGGGCAGGAAAAGGGAGTTTGGGGAGGTTTTTGTGGGGCCTGAGTCCATTTCCTTTGCCTGCGATTGTCCCCACTTCTCGAGGTTTTGCAGAAGCGTCCAGATTTTGTTCGTTTTTAGTTTTGTCCTGGCTTTCCCGTGCTCTCTTGTGCTTTGGCAAACCGCCAGTCGTGTCCTAGTCAAGAGCTCATCAAGACAGACAGAGCCTCTTTCACAGAATGGCAGAATTGGAAGGGACGTCACATTTCACCCAGTCCAACCCCCTGCCCAAAGGGTGAATTTACAGCTTTGCTTTGCCATTGTTGAAAGCATTCATGGTTTACATTTAGTTTTTCCTTCGGGTGGCGCTGTGGGTTAAACCGCAGAGCCCAGGGCTTGCTGATCAGAAGGTCGGCGGTTCGAATCCCCGCGATGGATGGGGTGAGCTCCCGTTGCTCGGTCCCTGCTCCTGCCAACCTAGCAGTTCGAAAGCACGTCAAAGTGCAAGTAGATAAATAGGTATCGCTCTGGCGGGAAGGTAAACAGCGTTTCCGTGCGCTGCTCTGGTTCACCAGAAGCGGCTTAGTCCTGCTGGCCGCATGACCCCGAAGCTGTACACCGGCTCCCTCGGCCAATAAAGCGAGATGAGCGCCGCAACCCCAGAGTCGTCCACAACTGGACCTAATGGTCAGGGGTCCCTTTACCTTTACCTAATTTTTTGGGTGGCCCCAAGAGAGTGGGGCCCTAAGCTAGAGCTTGTTTAGCTTATATGTAAATCTGACACTGGCGACCCTCCCCCCTTGCCTGTTTCTTCAAAGGTGGGGCGTGGCCACAGGTGGGAGGGTACTGTGTGGGTGTGGTCTAAAGAAGGGGCGGAGCTACAAGCCCAGGACCCACATCTTAAGAGAAGCTGCCTCACTCCGTCTCTCTTGCAGACCCTCTTGGATGCCAACCTGACAGCGCTCCACGGCGAGATGTTCACCCTCCAGGCTGAAGGGGTGGAGATGGATGGTCGTAACAGCGCCCTGCTGGGTAAGAACAATAATAATTGCAATAAGGATGATTTATTACTTGTACCCGCCCATCCAAGTTGCAGATGTTACAAGGGGAGAGCCAATGAAAAGTCATCTGTAATGATTTCTTTATAGGTCTTGTAAGGTCAAAGCTTACTGGGAAACGATGTATAATGAATTGAAAAAGATGTTAATAATAATAATAATAATAATAATTTATTATTTATACCCTGCCCCTCTGGCTGGGTTTCCGGTCCTACAAACCTGCCTGGGCTCCGAGGTATTCGTGGGCCTCCCTTCCTTCAACCCTGCCCCCCTCAAAGGCACCCTCAGTGGCGACCCACGGCAGGGCCTTCTCAGTGTTGGCTTCCTCCCAGATTCTGCCACATTAGTTGGTTTAGAACGTTATAAAGGCGTCATATGAATGTGACACCAGAGGGCGACGTAGAGCCAAAATTGGAAGTCGATGGTAATTTCCATTGTGAGCTTTTATAACAGTTTTTTTTCCATAGCGATTTTTTATAGCTGTGTAGATCCAGCCTGGAACTTTCTCCCCGGAGAAGCTAATAAGCTAATAATAATAATATTTTCCCCTACCTTGTTTGGGGTTTGGAGGAAGCATGGAAAGCTTTTTCTGCATTGTGCCATTCTCAAGCCCGTCTCTCGGCTCTTTCCCCCTCGCAGCGGAGATGTCCCGGTGGCGGCAGCAGGTGGCCGGCTTGGAAGAGCGGCTGGAGGCAGCGGCGGGAGAAAAGGCCGCGGCCGAGGCGGAGAGGGAGCACTGCGAGGCGCGGCAGGCGGCGCTGCAGGAAAGCGTGTGAGTCGAGTCTCCGTGGCGCTTTCGACCGTTGCAGAGCAACAAATCACAGAATCTAACACAGAGGTCAGCAACCTAAGGCCCATGGGCCGGAAGCAGCTCATGGGGGTCGCTTAACCAGCCCATGAGCTGCTCCCGAACCTAGCTGCCCGCTCAGCGGGTCCCCGCGTGTTGCGCTAAACCGGAGCAGAGCGGGGACTCTCTTCCGCGGCTTCGGAAATCGCTTCTGCGCATGGCCAAACGCTGAAAATCTGCGCATGCCCAGACGCCCAGAACCGTGTCTGCGCAGAAGCGATTTCCTGCGTTGCACTGCCCCTGATCTAGCAGAGCAGTCCTAGCTAAAAGCTGGTCAAACGAAGAAGGAAGTCAAAAAGAGGGAGGTTGCTGCATGACTCATCCTTTTATTACCTGGACAGGTGAGGCCACGCCCACCTTCGTTCACATGCAAAAGGAAGGATGCTCCAGCCAGGAGGAACAGGAAGTTTTGACTGGCTAGACCAAACATCCCCTTGCATGTCTTCTCTAGGAAAACAAGGAATGTTGTACTTGACTGCCTCTCATGGATCACGTCCCATACAGTAGCTCCTCAAATCTTTCTAAATATCTATATCTTGTGGGAATGTTCATGGTGACAGGAGAGGATATATTGTTTATTCATATCCTTCCTAAACTTGCGCTAGCAAGTTCCTTTACTTAGCAGAGTTGCATTCTCCCTTCTTAAAATCACAGCAGAGAGCTGGTTGCAGGCTCGTGTGAGCCTCTCACTATTATACAATTCAGTCTGTCTTCAGATTCAATTGTATGTTCCTGGTAAGTTCCCTTGAATCCCTCTTAAAAGAATAAAGATGCCACAATCTTATTCAAAGTCAATAAAAGAAGTTTACTCACATCAGTTCACAGTTGGATCCCTGAAGGCAGACTTAGTTACAAATATGTACCTGTGGATCTGCCCCATATGGGGGGATAATCCCAGTGATTCTGCTAGCAGAGCAGTCCTAGCTAAAAGGTGGTCCAACGAAAAAGGAAGCCAAAAAGAGAGAGGTGTGCTGCGTGACTTGTCCTTTTGTTACCTGGACAGGTGAGGTCACACCCATCTTCAATCACATGCAAAAGGAAGGATGCTCCAGCCAGAAGGAACAGGAAGTTTCGACCGGCTGGACCAAACATTCCATCGCATGTCTTCTCTAGCATTTTCCAAGGAATCTTTCCTCCTTTTCGGAACCTTAAAACCCTGTTTGCACAAATCCGAAAATACATGCACCGAGGTCAGAAGACAAAAGCGAGCGGACCTGAAAACAAAAACCAAACCTCAAGTGAACATAAAATCAGCAGTTCGAGATTTTTAAAAGGGAAACTGCCTGTTAAAATCTTATTTTTCATGCAAAAGGAAGGATGCTCCAGCCAGGAGGAACAGGAAGTTTCGACTGGCTGGACCAAACATTCCCTCGCATGTCTTCTCTAGCATCGCAAGGAATGTTTTTACTTGACTGCCTCTCACGGATCACATCCCACATATACAGGTGAAACTCGAAAAATTAGAATATTGTGGGAAAGTTCCTTGATTTCAGGAATTCAGCTTGAAAGTTGAAACTAATACATGAGACAGACTCGTGACATGCAAAGCGAGATACGTCAAGCCTTGATTTGTGATCATTTCCATGATCATGGCATACAGCTGGTGAAAACCCCAAATTAACCATCTCAGGAAATTAGAATGTTCAAGGAAATCAGCAAAACAAGGATTGCAAATTGAGCAAGATTGGACCTCTGAGAAGTAGAGGCACATCGCGCTTTGCATGTCACGAGTCAATCTCATTTATTAGTTTTACCATTCAAGTTGAATTCCTGAAATCAATGAACTTTTCCACGATATTCTAATTTTTCGAGTTTCACCTGTACAGTATTTGATGTATAGGTAATCTGTCGGTGGGGTCTCATCAGTCCGCCTCCCTCTTCCTGACGTCTCTTTTTCGCCTTTTATCTCCCCAGGCACGGCTACCTGTCCGAAATCGCCTCCCTCCACCGTCGCCTTCAAGGGCGCCCGTCCTCCTCCGGTCGCAGGTGCCCCCCGTTCCGGTACTTATTGTGGGGGCTGGCGATCTTTTTCATTCTTGACCCTCTCGTAAGTTTTCAGAGCCGAGAGGGTTCCCCTGGGGCGATCCCTTGCGCCAAAGGGTGGTGATCACCCTACCGCGAGAGAAAGATTTGGCATCCGTCACTCTGGCTTGACTTAACCCAGCGCAGTCAAAAGTATTCTGCCCCCCATTGTGAATCAGGTTTATTTATCGAAATTTGCAGGGTTTGAGCTGTATGCAAGGAGCAAATTGAAAAACGGAAGCCGTAGCTCAACTCAAGGGATGCTTCAAGGTAAAGGTAAAGGTAAAGGACCCCTGACCGTTAAGTCCAGTCGTGGACGACTCTGGGGTTGCGGCGCTCATCTCACTTTACTGGCCGAGGAAGCCGGCGTACAGCTTCCGGGTCATGTGGCCAGCAGGACTAAGCCGCTTCTGGCAACCAGAGCAGCGCACGGAAACGCCGTTTACCTTCCCGCCGGAGCGGTACCTATTTATCTACTTGCACTTTGATGTGCTTTCAAACTGCTAGGTGGGCAGGAGCAGGGACCGAGCAACGGGAGCTCACCCCGTCACGGGGATTCAAACCACCGACCTTCTGATCGGCAAGTCCTAGGCTCTGTGGTTTAACCCACAGCGCCACCCAACCCACAGCGCCACGGAAGCTGTAGCTCAACGCAAGGGATGCTTCAAGAGCTTCCCCCAAATTCAACTGGAAAAGCAACTTCGCTTCATGCAAACAGCTCAGAGTCTGAACATTTTGATAATCAACCTGATTTCCAATGGAGGTTGAATAATTCCGATTGCGACTGCAGAACATCATGGATGGTGGATGGGAAGTCAATGGAATGTCTATGGGGAAACGTGTGAAATTTAACAATTAAATAGATAAATGTTTTTTTAAGGGAACCTACATATTCCATGTTGCTAGTTGCTGCTGGTTAATATAAAATTGAATTGCTTCTTCTGTGTTTTTGTTTTAACTCGCTTTCATTCGTTTTGTTGTTGTTGTTTCAGGAAAGGCTGATCTTTCTCCTCTGGAGCAACTTACCCAATGCCTTCGTTCAAAGTCACAGATAAATACCAAATTCAGATGCAGCTTTGGGGAAATTGGCAGTGGGGAGAGACAGATGATTAAACCAGATTGGAATTATAGAACTGTAGAGTTGGAAAGGACCATGAAGGACATCTAGAAATGCAGGAATATTCTGGGATGATTCAGATCTGTCAGATCACAATTTAAATAAAAAAAATTAATTTAATGTTCAAATAAAACGCTGTTCTCTGACCCAACCAAGTAAGTCTGCCTTGTTGTGGTTTTTCCTCTTGATGTTTCCTTCCCCCTTGCAGAAGCAAGGAGCACAACATTAAAAAGATTCCTGGTGGATCGCGATTCTCTGCTGCAGGCCTGCTTAGATCTGAGTAAAAGGCGCTAGGATTTTTTCCTTGGGTTACTGGAAACAAAAACACCAAAAGAAAAAACCTGGATGTTTTGTCAAATGCCCGGACAGAAATTTTAATTCTGGAAAAGAAGTCGCGTCCGGGGAAAATAGGACATATGGCAACCCAACCCCCTATCTTCTTCTTCCTCTCTGGCGATCCCTCATAGCCGAGTAAGATTGTCTTCCATGAACATGGTTTTAACAGTGAGTCCGTAAGTGACTGTGGAGGCCAATTCTGGACCCACACGTCCTTCCACAGTGGGGACATTGGTTTCCAGGCAGGAGTTGACCCCGGTGAGGGTTTGCCAAGCGTGCCTTCCTCTTAGCATGCTTCTCCCTCGCATCCTGAGTTTGAGCATCTTCAAAGCCCGTGACATCTTTGGTAAAGGCTGTTCTCCAACTGGAGCTCTCACAGGCCAGTGTTTCCCGGTTGTTGGTGTTTATACTACATTTTTAAAGATTTGCCTCGAGAGAGTCTTTGAACCTCTTTTGTTGACCACCAGCATTACGCTTTCCATTTTTAAGTTCGGAATAGAGCAGTTGCTTCGGAAGACGATCATCAGGCATCTGCACAACATGACCAGTCCAACGAAGCTGATGTTGAAGAATCATCGCTTCGACACTGGTGATCTTTGCTTCTTCCAGTACACTGGCATTAGTTCGCCTGTCTTCCCAGGTGATGTGTACAAATTTTCAGAGATACTGTTGATGGAATCTTTCGAGGAGTTGGAGATGGCGTTTATAAGTGGTCCATGTTTCAGAAGCGTACAGTAAGGTTGGTAGTACAAAAAGAGAACATCTGGCAACCCCATACCCTATAGCCTGATCTAGCAGGGGTCGTGTGTTGGATGCTGGTGGCGCTGTGGTCTAAACCACAGAGCCTCTTGGGCTTGCCGATCAGAAGGTCAGCGGTTTGAATCCCCGCAATGACGGGGTGAGCTCCCGTTGCTCAGTCCCTGCTCCTGACAACCTAGCAGTTCGAAAGCATGTCAAAGTGCAAGTAGATAAATAGGTACCACTGCAGCGGGAAGGTAAACGGCGTTTCCGTGCACTCTGGTTTCCGTCATGCACCAGAAGTGGTTTAGTCCTGCTGGCCACATGACCTGGGAAGCTGTCTGTGGACAAACGCCGGCTCCCTCGGCCTGAAAGCGAGATGAGCGCCGCAACCCCAGAGTCGCCTTTTGCTGGACTCATCCAGGAGTCCTTTGCCTCGTGAGTGCAGTTTATGAGTTGACCACGAGGGAGCAGCATACGATCACTTCATCTTTAGGGATGAAGGAAATTTGGCTTTCTCTCTCCATTTCTGCTTTGCAAACCCCGAGTGTGCATTCCTCCTTTTCATACATAATTGCACCAAGCACATTTCCCCAAGCTTGCACGCATTGTCGGCACCCATGTGTCTCAAGAGACGATGGAGTGCTCCTCCGGGGGTGGGGGGGAGCCAAAAAACTGTGAAAGCAGAACCAAAGTGACCTTCCCAGGCTGCCCAGATGACAAAACCCCCCTCTCAGCCGCTTTAGGGAAACTAGAAGGGGAAGAAATGGAGGCAGTGAGAGATTTTACTTTCTTGGGCTCCATGATCACTGCAGATGGTGACAGCAGAAATTAAAAGACGCCTGCTTCTTGGGAGGAAAGCAATGACAAACCTAGACAGCATCTTAAAAAGCAGAGACATCACCTTGCCAACAAAGGTCCGTATAGTTAAAGCTCAGTTTTCCCAGTAGTGATGTATGGAAGTGAGAGCTGGACCATCAAGAAGGCTGATCGCCGAAGAATGGATGCTTTTGAATTATGGTGCTGGAGGAGACTCTTGAGAGTCCCATGGACTGCAAGAAGATCCAACCTCTCCATTCTGAAGGAAATCAGCCCTGAGTGCTCACTGGAAGGACAGATCCTGAAGCTGAGGCTCCAAGACTTTGGCCACCTCCTGAGAAGAGAAGACTCCATGGAAAAGACCCTGATGTTGGGAAAGATGGAGGGCACAAGGAGAAGGGGACGGCAGAGGACAAGATGGTTGGATAGTGTTCTCGAAGCTACCAGCATGAGTTTGACCAAACTGCAGGAGTGCCTGGCCTGCTCTGGTCCAGGGGGTCACGAAGAGTCAGACACGACTAAACGACTAAACAACAACATATTGGAATCAAGACATTAAATGAGCACCATTATCCTTTCCTTTTTCCTTCGGGGATAGAGGCCCACCGGGAATGTGTCTCTCCTCCTCAATAGCTTTGAATGCCGTTCCCCTCCCTTTCCCCCAAAGCAGTAGACGTCTGGTCACCTCTGAGCTACTCCCGAACTACCGGATTTCGCTCTCGGCTCCTGGGGCTTCCTTTTCAGAGCTAGAAATAGCGCCAGCCGGCCACCACCCTTCCAGGCTCAGAGGAAAACCCAGAGACAGTTCCTGTGGCAATTTGGGCTCTCCGGCCGAATGCGTGACCCTCTTCATCTCCCTGAATCTCACACTACAAAGAGAAATAGCCCGCTCTGTTTCTTTACCTATACAATCAGCATCCCCTTCTTTCCTCTACCCTCTCCATCCCCTTTTCCTTTCGTGCTGCACCTTTGATTTATGGCGGCTCAAGAGTGGAGATGAAAACCCTCTGAATAAATCAATAAATTGTGTTGTGCCTTGTCTAAAGCTAGGTTAGGGAAAATGTTGGTCACTTCTCCTACCTATCTTTCCACAAGGGCCGACACTGATGCTGAAATCCAGCATCGCCTGATCTCTGCGAGTGCAGCTTTCTCCCAACTGAAGTGCAGAGAGTTTAGGACTGGGACATTTGCAGGGAAACCAAAATGCACGTTTACAAAGCTATTGTACTACCAAGCTTACTGTATGCTTGGGAAACATGGACCACTTACAAAAGCCATCTCCAACTCCTCGAAAAATTCCATCAACGGTGTCTCCGAAATATTTTACACACCACTTGGGAAGACAGACAAACTAATGCCAGAAGAATACCAGAAGAAGCAAAGATCACAAGTGTTGAAGCGATGATTCTTCAACATCAACTTCATTGGACCGGTTATGTTGTGCGGATGCCTGATGATCGTCTTCCAAAGCAACTCCTCTATTCCAAACTTAAAAATGGAAAGCGTAATGTTGGTGGTCAACAAAAGAGGTTCAAAGACTCTCTCAAGGCAAAGCTAAAAAAATGGAGTATAAACACTGACAACTGGGAAACACTGGCCTGCGAGCGCTCCAGTTGGAGAACAGGCTTGACCAAAGGTGTCGTGGGCTTTGAAGACGCTAGAACTCAGGACACAAGGGAGAATCGTGCTAAGAGGAAGGCACGCTTGGCAAATCTCCACCTTGATCAACTCCCACCCAGAAACCAATGTCCCCACTGTGGAAAGACGTGTGGGTCCAGAATTGGCCTCCACAGTCACTTACGGACTCATTGTTAAGACTGTGTTTATGGAAGACAATTTTACTCGCTACGAGGGATCGCCAAAGAAGAAAGAAGGAGTTGCTGGGTGGGTTGGACTACGTGAACTCTGGTGTCCCTTCCAACAGTTCTATGATTCTAGGGATTAAAGTTAGTTGGAGCAGAGCCAGACTTTAAAGGACGGCGATTGGAATAATGGGCTTGTTTTGGTGTGGAAGCGTTTGACGTGATTGGGGGGAAAACACTTAGGACGGGGGCCAAGAACAATTCAGAAAGACAAAAGGACCTGAACAGATGAATCAGGCATTGCTGCCAGATATCTGTCCCAAATCGCAAGATGATGGGGTTAGATCTGGTTAATTGTTCAGATGATTTATAGACTTCCCTTTGCAAAACGCCGCAGGGCGTTTTGCAAACAAAAGAAGACGAAGGCAAAAAAGCAACAACCCCCAAACAGGGAGAAATCCAGGCAACTGCCAATTACTCCCCAAATCCTGGGAAGTCTGGATTGTTAAGGGTGCTTTTAGGAGTTATTAAGAGATCCCCCTCACAAAGCTATTGGTATAAGGAAAAAACCTGCTCCTTTTCCCTTATGGGGTACCCAAGAGCCCATATAGAGTCCTTAACTAGGTTCTCTATCGTAGGAGAAAATAACAGAGGCCAAGCAGAGAATATTGAGAAGCAAAGCGGCTAGTAAGCCTGGTCATTATTGAACTGTTGCAACAGGGTCCTCACTCCCCACACGCAGGAGGGAGGAGGAACCCAGAACATTGGTGCTCAAGCCCTTATATAAAGGTAAAGGTAAAGGGACCCCTGACCATTAGGTCCAGTCATGGCCGACTCTGGGGTTGCGGCGCTCATCTCGCTTTACTGGCTGAGGGAGCCGGCGTACAGCTTCTGGGTCATGTGGCCAGCAGGACTAAGCCGCTTCTGGTGAACCAGAGCAGCGCACGGAAATGCCGTTTACCTTCCCACCGGAGCGGTACCTATTTATCTACTTGCACTTTGACGTGCTTTCGAACTGCTAGGTTGGCAGGAGCAGGGACCGAGCAACGGGAGCTCACCCCGTTGCAGGGATTCAAACCGCTGACCTTCTGATCGGCAAGTCCTAGGCTCTGTGGTTTAACCCACAGCGCCACCCATGTCCCTTGTAGCTCAAGACCACCCCCCCAAATATCATGCATACATCACAGAAAGAGGTGGTCCACAGCAGATATTGAAGTATGTTGCTTCTCTCCTGTCTGCCAGGATAGCTGATCAATCATGCCTTATCAATTGCCTTTTCTGGGTAGCCTGGCCATTCAATACTCAGTTCCTGAATCTCTTACGCATATTGATAAGTGTGCTCAGCTAAACAGATACTTGCCAGACTGTATTTGCAAAGGGAGGTGTGAGCCCCTACAGTCCAAAGACCATTGGAAAGCTTTCCCCATTTCCTTCCTCCTTGCAGAGAAATATTCTGCCTTGGTCAGACCACACCTGGGATACTGTGTCCAGTTCTGGGCACCACAATTTAAGAAGGATGTGGACAAGCTGGAAGGTGAGCAGAGGAGGGAGACCAAGATGATCAAAGGTCTGGAAACCGAGCCTGATGAGGAACGGTCGAAGGAGCTGGCGATGTTTAGCCTGGAAAAGAGGAGCCTGAGAGGAGATAGGAGAGCCATCTTCCAATATCTTGAGAGCCGTCCCATGGAAGAAGGAGCGTGCTTCCCTCTGCTTTCCTCATTTTATTTCAACCGAAGTCGGACGCCCCCTGGTTTAGGAGGGAAAAATTGGGGGGGCAGCAGAAGGAATGGGGAGAGTAAGCAAGTCTAGTGAAGTTCTGATTTTCCCCATGATAAAGGCTTGGAAGCTTTAAAACACACACACAATTCTATATATTTTTAAATTGCATTTTAACCTGTATTCTAAATTGGTTCCCCCCCCCCCATTATATTTTTATTGTAATTTTACTGTTGTTAGCCGCCCTTAGCCTGGCTCTGGCCAGGGAGGGCGGGGTATAAATAAAATTATTATTAATATTATTATTATTATTATTATTATTATTATTATTATTATTATATAATCAAATGTCTTTAAAAACAACAACAAACTCCCTTTTTGTATGTGCCCCTGCTTTAGGGGCTAAGGACATTCTGGGTGATAAGGCCTGGGGCTGGGGGGGGGTGCAGGCCGAAGTTAGTGGGGTATTGCCCCCACTTTGCCCTCCATGCCAAGGAAACTCCGGGGCTCCTGGGACAGAACTCAGCCGGTCGGCCATCTCAGGGTTGGGGGTTGGAGCCCCACAACCGGCAAAAGATTCCTGCACCGCAGAGGGTTGGACTAGAGGATCTTTGGAGGGCCCTTGTCCCTCTGAAATTCGACGATGCTCCGGTTCCTTCTATGCCTTTGCCCTGGCTGACGTCTTTCGGGGCACCCTGGGGACCAGCCTGGCAAAGGCGAGGCCTCCTTGGCCTTGTTCCCGCCGGCCGAAAAAACAAAAACAAGGGGGAAGGAGCGGCGAGAGGCCGCCCCCCGAGAAATGTCCCGGTGACAAGGGGGCCCCTTTTGATAACCAGGAACCAGCAGCTTTTTCCGGACAGGCAGGATGGAGTCAGGCGAGAGGAAGGAGGCAATATAAACACTCGGGGAATTGGAGTCCCCGCCCGGCTGACCCAAAAGCGGCTCCTTCGACGTTGGATGAGGCAGTTGTTGGCGAGATGGAGAAGAACCCCTACACGATGGCCAAGCTAGGCTTGGAGTTGAAGGAGAACCCCAATAAGAGGGACTGCAGCTTCTACATGAAATATTTCTTCCTCTTCCTCTCGCTCATCCAGTTCCTCATCATCCTGGGGCTGGTGCTTTTCATGGTGTACGGCAACTCAGAAGAAAGCGCCAAGCAACACCAGAAAGTCCTGCAGGATCAGCTCTTGCAATGCAACAAGAAGGGCCAGGAGCACGGCCGAGAGATCGGCGACTTCAAGAAGCGGCTCAACGCCAGCCAGGTGGAGGCCAACCTGAACAAGATCAAGGCCAGCAGCTGCAACAAGACGTTGGTGGCCTGCAACAACGAGAAGGTCAGCAGAGAGACCGTCTCTAACGGGGTTGGGATGGATGATCTCTGGGGGTCCCTGCCAACACCAGAAGCTCGCATGCACTCAGAGATGGGCCTGTGTGCCACACGTTGGGGGTGTTTATTTCAGACACCCTACAAACGTCCCTGTTTTCCAAGGGCAGTCCTGGATTTACAGAAGCTGTCCCAGTTTGGATGGAATAGGACGTCCCTGTTTTCAGGGGAGAAATATTGGAAGGGATGAAATAGGGCGTCCCTATTTTCAGGGGAGAAACGTTGGAGGGGATGGAATAGGACGTCTCTATTTTCAGGGGAGAAACGTTGGAGGGGATGGAATAGGACGTCCCTATTTTCAGGGGAGAAACGTTGGAGGGGATGGAATAGGACGTCCCTATTTTCAGGGGAGAAACGTTGGAGAGGATGGAATAGGACGTCCCTATTTTCAGGGGAGAAACGTTGGAGGGGATGGAATAGGACGTCCCTATTTTCAGGGGAGAAACGTTGGAGGGGATGGAATAGGACGTCCCTATTTTCAGGGGAGAAACGTTGGAGGGGATGGAATAGGACGTCCCTGTTTTCAGGGGAGAAATATTGGAAGGGATGAAATAGGGCGTCCCTATTTTCAGGGGAGAAACGTTGGAGGGGATGGAATAGGACGTCCCTATTTTCAGGGGAGAAACGTTGGAGGGGATGGAATAGGACGTCCCTATTTTCAAGGGAGAAACGTTGGAGGGGATGGAATAGGACGTCCCAAATTTCGAAGGAGAAACGTTGGAGGATGGAATAGGACGTCCCTGTTTTCAGGGAGAAACGTTGGAAGGGATGGAATAGGGCGTCCCTATTTTCAGGGGAGAAACGTTGGAGGGGATGGAATAGGACGTCCCTGTTTTCAGGGGAGAAACGTTGGAGGGGATGGAATAGGACGTCCCTGTTTTCAGGGGAGAAACGTTGGAGGGGATGGAATAGGACGTCCCTATTTTCAAGGGAGAAACGTTGGAAGAGATGGAATAGGACGTCCCTATTTTCATGGGAGAAACGTTGGAGGGGATGGAATAGGACGTCCATGTTTTCAAGGGAGAAACGTTGGAGGGGATGGAATAGGACGTCCCTATTTTCAGGGGAGTAAACGTTGGAGGGGATGGAAAAGGGCGTCCCTATTTTCAGGGGAGAAACGTTGGAGGGGATGGAATAGGACGTCCCTATTTTCAGGGGAAAAACGTTGGAGGGAATGGAATAGGACGTCCCTATTTTCAGGGGAGAAACGTTGGAGGAGATGGAATAGGACGCCCCTCTTTTCAGGGGAGAAACGTTGGAGGGGATGGAATAGGACGTCCCTGTTTCATTGGATGTTATGTGCTGGCTCTCTCATTTCCCAATCCTCTTTTACCCTTTTGCAAGCACTATTTACAATCATTATAGCAATAGCTGAACATTCAGCCCCTTTTTCCCTTTAGCAACAAGATGTAGGCAGACAATCTTTCGACCGTCATGACACAGCTGTTTGCAGAAAGCATCTGTTGGTCAGTCCTCTGCAAAATAAGCAATAACCTTCAGGAGCTGAGGGTCTCATCAAAACTAAATCCAGCCCTGGGGGTTGGGATTGATGACCCTCGAGTGTCCCTTGCAATTCTAGGATTCTTTGAGTCTATGGTACATGATGTTGTGGGATATTGAATTAATCTGCGGTGGATGGACACACAATCTGAGAACGCTTTGAGGCCCGTGTAAAAGTGATAAGTTTATTTCGAATTGTTATGTTTTTGTGACGTGCTTTCCTATCCAGTAGTATTGAGCTCCCACAAGCAGCTCCTGAATGGATGAGGTTGATATGAATAATTTGTATTGTTATAATTTTCTTCCTGTCGGTCTTTCTTCTTTATAGGGAATGCCTGCTTGCCGTAATGGCTGCTGCATGTTATATATTGCATTGCCTGCTAAATAATAATGAATAATGATGATAAGAACGATAAAGATAGTAATAATAATAATAATAGCAGTAATAATAGAGAAAAAGTAAACTAGCCAAAACACAGCCATCTTTTCACATCCACCCTTCTCTGAAATTTTCAGTGCAGTTCTCCTGACAGAGTAATGTGTCCCCAAATTCCCGAGATAGGGCGATGTTTGCATCAAATGCTGGAGAATAACGTTCAAGGAAGCATTACGGCGGGGAGTGGGGGGTGGGAATTGCTTTGCAAATAAAGAACGAGGAGGAAAATGAATCTTAGGCAAAACACACACACAAAAATGCGTTTGCCGGGAGAAATTTACGCTGAGATGCTGATGAATTTCCACGAGGGGTTTAAAAGGGTGGCATGGATATGTCGAAAACCGAGCTCAAGATTGGGGGTGGGGAAAATGAGAGGAAAGGACCAGTTTCTGCCCCCATCCCTATGAAGGAACCACCTGCCTGGAAGCAGGTAAAATGTATAAGGACCCGGGGCATTCCATCAAATCCAACTCAAAGATGTTGATCACTTCCCCTACCTGGAAAGTTACCATATTTTTTGCTCTATAAAACTCACTTTTCCCCTCCTAAAAAGTAAGGGGAAATGTGTGTGTGTCTTATGGAGCGAATGCAGGCTGCGCAGCTATCCCAGAAGCCAGAACAGCAAGAGGGATTGCTGCTTTCACTGCGCAGCGATCCCTCTTGCTGTTCTGGCTTCTGGGATTCAGAATATTCTTTTTCTTGTTTTCCTCCTCCAAAAACTAGGTGCGTCTTGTGGTCTGGTGTGTCTTATAGAGTGAAAAATAGGGGGCCTCTTTCCACAAGGGCCAACATTGATGCTGAAATCCAGCATCACCTGAGCTCTGTGAGTTCGGCTTTCTCTAGATTGAAGCACAGAGTGTTTGAGAACCGGGACATTCGCAGGGAAACCAAAATGCTTGTTTGCAAAGCTCTTGTACTACCAACCTTAATGTATGCTTGGGAAACATGGACCACATATAAACACCATCTCCAACTCCTCGAAAGATTCCATCAACGGTGTCTCTGAAATATTTTACACATCACTTGGGAAGACAGGCGAACTAATGCCAGTGTACTGGAAGAAGCAAAGATCACCAGTGCTGAAGCGATGATTCTTCAACATCAACTTCGTTGGACTGGTCATGTTGTGCGGATGCCTGATGATCGTCTTCCAAAGTGACTACTCTATTCCAAACTTAAAAATGGAAAGTGTAATGCTGGTGGTCAACAAAAGAGGTTCAAAGACTCTCTCAAGGCAAATCTTTAAAAATGTAGTATAAACACCAACAACCGGGAAACACTGGCCTGCAAGCGCTCCAGTTGGAGAACAGCCTTTACCAAAGATGTCACGGGCTTTGAAGATGCTCGAACTCAGGACGCGAGGGAGAAACGTGCTAAGAGGAAGGCATGCTTGGCAAATGCTCACCGGGATCAACTCCCACCCGGAAACCTATGTCCCCACTGTGGAAGGACGTGTGGATCCAGAATTGGCCTCCACAGCCACTTACGGACTGACTGCTAAAACTGTGTATATGGAAGACAATCTTTCTCGGCTACTAGGCATTGCCAAGGAAGACCTGCAATCAATTCATGCTGATAAACCGTGTTTATGGAAGACAATCTTACTCGGCTATGAGGGGTCGCCAAAGAAGAAGAAGAGCAATAGCAATAAGCAATAAGCAATACTAATTAACACTTCTTGTTGTTTAGTCATTTCCGACTCTTCGTGACCCCATGGACCAGAACACGCCAGGCACTCCTGTCTTCCACTGCCTCCCGCAGTTTGATTTAACACTAATTAATAGTGATTAATAGTGATCAATAATAATTAATAATTATTAATAATATTTGAAGCTGCTTTCTCCAGTCAGTGTCAGCTCTGCTTATTTTCCTCAACCACCCCAAATCGTTGGAGCCTAACCCACCCCTCTCTCCATCTTCCCCCAGTTAAAATGCCATGAGCAGCGAAGACAGGACGCAATTGCCCAACAGATGAGCCGGGAATGCGCTTATAACTTGTACCTTCTGAATATGACGACTCAAGGTAAGAGCAGCCCGGGCCAGGGCACACTGTGGTCATCTAAAACTGTGCTATTTTTACTGTTGTTAGCCGCTCTGAGCCCGGCTTTGGCTGGAGAGGGTGGGATATAAATAAAATTTTATTATTATTATTAATCTAGCCTTGAGGCTACGGCTGCTGGAAGTTCGGCCGAAGACAGCTGGTGCCCGCTGGTTCTCTGAATGAGTCCCTGAAGGCTGATAAGCCGCAGGTGTACGGTTGGCCATGCCAGGAACATAGCTGTCAACGTTTCCCGTTTTTTAAGGGAAATTCCCTTATTCCAAATAGGATTCCTCGCAAGAAAAGAGAAAAGTTGACAGCTATGGCCAGGAAAGGCTGCCCCTAGAGATCCGTGCAAAGCCCAACTGCTGCCGGAAATCCTGCCGCCCCTGCCCCCCATAAGAAATAATAATAATAATAATAATAATAATAATAATAATAATAACAACTTAGTTGGTCTCTAAGGTGCTACTGGACATTTTATTTTATTTTTTATCTATTTATCATCTATCTATCTCTATCTATCTATCTATCTATCTATCATCTCTTTATCTTTATCTCTATCTATCTTTCTATCTATCTATCTATCTATCTATCTATCATCTATATCTATCTATCTAACATCTATGTATATCTATCTATCTATCTATCTATATCTATCTATCTATCATCTATCATCTATCATCTATCATCTATCATCTATCATCTATCATCTATCTATCTAACATCTATGTATATCTATCTATCTATCTATATCTATCTATCTATCATCTATCATCTATCATCTATCATCTATCATCTATCATCTATCATCTATCTATCTAACATCTATCTATATTTATCTATCTATTTCTCTCTGTCTGTCTATCTATCTATCTCTCTGACCCTTGTGTTTTGGGGGGATGGAAACAGCCCCTTGCTGCTGTCACTGCACACATAAACAACTTTTTATTTTCTTTTGGCAGATATTATTTTCTTTTGGTTATTTATTGGTAAATAAAAAACAACTTTTTATTTTATTTTCCACCTATAATACCTAACAAAAAAAGCCTCTGGTTTTTTTAAAACAAAAGTTATTCAAAACTTCTTTTTTTCCATATCGTTTTGTCTTTCTCTTCCTTTTCGAATGTCCCGCAGTTCGGATCGACTCTCTCCAGGAAAAACTGGCCGCTCTGCAGCTGAGGAGCCAACTGGAGCAAGGTGCCTTGTCCGGCGCCCAGAAAAACCTGCAGGACCAATTGGACCGGACAGAGAAGGAGAAGCAAGCTTGCGAGATCGACCGGCTGGGAGACCAGTCGCAGACGCAGACCTACCATAACCTAGCTTCCCAAGTCCTGTCCAAACTGAATCCCGTCCCTGAGAACCTGAGATCATCCTTTGAGCAGGTCATGGCCAAGTTCACCTCCTGCTACCAGGTCGGCAGCGCCCGTCAGGACTTCCGGCTGCTGACAGACACCTTGAGGGACCAGTTTGAGGTGCTGGCCAGGCAGGTGGACCAGAAAGTGAGCAGCGCGGCCGAGGAGAACGGGAGGCTGCAAAGAGAGAAGGCCACTTGCACCCACAGCTTGCAGGAGAAGGAGCGCCAAGCGGGCGCCCAAAAATTACAGTGCGAGAGGGAGAAGCAGATCCTCAGAGATGCCCAGGATGCGGAGACCAAGAAGATGTACGTGGAGAGACAGCAGTTGGTTGGGGAGAAGGAGACCCTCCAGCTGCAGTTGCAGCAGAGCAAGACAGCATGCCTGAATCTCAGGGTAAGGTAAAGGTAAAGGGACCCCTGACCATTAGGTCCAGTCGTGGCCGACTCTGGAGTTGCAGCGCTCATCTCGCTTTATTGGCCGAGGGAGCCGGCGTCCAGCTTCCAGGTCATGTGGCCAGCAGGACTAAGCCGCTTCTGGTGAACCAGAGCAGTGCACAGAAATGCCGTTTACCTTCCCGCCAGAGCTGTACCTATTTATCTACTTGCACTGGTGTGCTTTCGAACTGCTAGGTTGGCAGGAGCAGGGACCGAGCAACGGGAGCTCACCCCGTCATTGCGGGGATTCAAACCGCCGACCTTCTGATCGGCAAGCCCTAGGCTCTGTGGGTGAACCCACAGCGCCACCCGCGTCTCAGGGTAATCTCAGGGTAATAAGCCACAATTCCGGCACTTATCGCACGCCCGTTCCCTCTTCCATTTTGGGATAATAATTTTACCATCCAACAATAGCCCCGTTATAACAAGATCCAGCACCAAGGGCCTTCTGGCGGTTCCCTCCCTTCGAGAAGTGAGGTTCCAAGGAACCAGGGACAGGGCCTTCTCAGTGGTGGCGCCCTCCCTTCAGATATCAAGGAAATAAGCAACTATCTGACTTTTAGAAGACATCTGAAGGCAGCCCTGTTTAGGGGGGTTTTATTTTCATGTCCTTTATTAGGCGTAGCAAACCACACATGATCAAACAGACACTGTATACAAATTGTGCAAAATACGAGCGCAACATAATGAGGTTTGTCCCCGTCAGATCTTTAACTCCAGAGAAAATTAATTTGCATAAATAATACAATACAACATTGCCGCATCACCAATCAACACCCTTTTGAGCCTATTGTTTAGGGGTAAAGTGGGCTAATGGAATAAATATCGGGGCAAACGTTATGGGTAGGTATTGGGCATAAAGAGAGGGGCCTGCTGTCGTGACGAGACCTGGGAGAGCTGGGTTCGAATCTTCCCACTTAGCCACAAAACTCACTGGGTGTGAGCTTAGGGTCAGTCGCTCGCTCTCAGCCTACCTCGCCTGGTTGTTGTTGGGGATCGAAAGCGCAGAAGCTCCACCAAACCCGGATAAACGGAAGTGAGCATGGAAGGGTTGGCAAGACGGTTGGTTGTTACCTGCCGGAGTTGGCAGAAGGGCCGGCGGGGAGCTTCCTGGGGGCCCAAATGTGGCCCCTCGAAGCCTCTCCGCCCGCGCAGCTCTGCTGAAATATCGCAGGACTCTTTCAGAGGAGATATCGGGTTCTTTGCTTCGCAGGGGACTTCTTCGTTCCCCAGCAACCCGTTCATGAGACCAGCGAGTCCCGTTTCGTCCGGCGGCACCAACACGATGGGAGGCACTTGGAACACAGGGAGAGTCGTGAATACTGCGGGTTCGGTTTCCAGCCCACAAATCTTCCCCGGAAGATCAGGTGCAGTCGTGCAGCCGAATCCTGCCTCCCCGGGAATACAAATCAATGCTGGTGAGTCAACCCACCCCACTTGGCTCCATCCATCCCCTCCAACGTTTCTCTTGTGAAAATAGGGACGTCCTATTCCATCCCCTCCAACGTTTCTCCCGTGAAAAGAGGGACGTCCTATTCCATCCCCTCCAACATTTCTCCCGTGAAAATAGGGACATCCTATTCTATCCCCTCCAACGTTTTTCCCCTGAAAATTGGGTAAGTGGCCGGTTGCTCCTGTTCAGAAGGCGAAACCTTACCTCGGAACATGTTTCCTTTGTGTTCCTTTAGATCGATTGAGAACTCTGGAGAACAAGAAACCCCCTTTGGAGAATGGGAATCTGCAGAACCAGCCGCCAGCTGTCCTCGCGGGACAACCCCCCAGGTCCTGTAGTGAAAAAATGTGATTTTAATATGTTCCTGGTCTATGGGGCAGAGAGAAGGGGCTGAGCTACTGTTCTGTTGGGTTGCTGGAAAGTTTGGATGCTTCAGGGTCAGAGCCCAGTAGATAAGGTGTGGTGTCAATATGGGGGTGATCCCAGGTTATGGGGGCAGGCGGATCAGGTCCCAGATTTCAGAGAATCATGGGATCATAGAGATAGAAGTCTAGTGTCCAGATCAAGGGAAGTTGTAGTCCTTCTCTATTCTGCCTTGGTCAGACCACACCAGGGATACGGTGTCCAGTTCTGGGCAGCACAATTTAAGAAGGATGTGGACAAGCTGGAAGGTGGGCAGAGGAGGGAGACCAAGATGTTCAAGGGTTCTGGAAGCCATGCCTGATGAGGAACGGTCGAAGGAGCTGAGGATGTTCAGCTTGGAAAAGAGGAGACTTGAGAAGGAGATAGAGAGCCTCTTCCAATATCTCAAGGGCTCTCTCATGGAAGAGTGAGGAAGCTTGTTTTCTCCTGCTCCGCAGGGTACGACTCGAACCCGTGGCTCCGAGTTACAGGAAAGGAGAGCCTGACTCAACACCAGGAAGGGCCTTCGGGCGGTCAGAGCTGTTCGACCGTGGGATGGCCTATGATTCTATGTTCTCCAGATCAGCCTTTCTCAACCTGTGGGTCCCCAGATGTTGTTGGACTACGACTCCCATCGCCGCTAGCTAGCAAGGCCAGAGCTCAGGGATGATGGGAGTTGTAGTCCGACAACATCTAGGGACCCACAGCTTGAGAACCGCTGCTCTAGATCTTATAGAATCACATATAGCTTAGGGCCCACCTGCTCGCCTGCTCCCTAAAATATCCCTGGTTTGCTCCTTTCTATATACAGGGTGCCTACATTCTGCATGGACTGGTTGCAGGGCAACATGCGCAAATGGCTTGAGATACCTATTAGGTCCATAAATGACCATATAGCATATGTTCAACACAAAAAACAGCGACAATTTGTTGTGGACAAAGGACAGCTGGACATAGAAAGGGCCCCATTACCTCCAGTAGCTCAGGGCTTCATCAAACCTAAATATGGCCCTGCAGATGTGGGGGTTTTTTTTCCAGCTCCCCCACCCCACGAAGGATGGGGAACAGCAGGAAAGTTTGTCTGTGTGTCTTTGTGGTTTGGGCTGTGCTGGAAGTGGGAGATACAGAGGCATGTCTCTCCCCGGGCTGGATTCGAAACCGTGGCTTGGGGCGTTGGTGGAAACCTAAGGGGGAGGCAAGATCTTCATGCCGTGAGCCCCTCCATTCCATACTCAGGCTGTACATTTGCAGAAATAGAACCATTAATCCTAAAGTAGGGTTGCCATAGGTGCGGATTTTGCCATAGGTCCGGATGATAGTCCTTGTTTGGATGGGGGGCTTTTATCCATTTCCGCGGTCGCACAATCCATCCATCAGTAGCTGAACTGGGTTCCGCACAGTCACAAAAACAAATGAACCGAAAAAGCCTCAAAAACAAAATATGCAAAATAAAGAGCAAAAACAAAAGTGCCTAACTTACTCCGTTCTGGAAATCCGTTTGACTTCTGAAATGTTCGGAAACCGAGACGCGGCTTATGATTGGTGCGGGCGCCCCGGAAACAATAGCCGACAGCCACATCAGATGTTCAGCTTCCGGAAAACATTCAGAAACCGGAACACTCACTTCTGGGTTTTGAGAACCAAGGCGTTTGAGAACCAAGGCACCAGTGTATCCAAATATGTTTTTAAATATCAATAGCCTACTGTATAAACTCACTCCAAATTTGATTTCTTCCCGCCACAGCGGTTAAAGGAAACGGCGCCAGAGGCCTCCAGGAACAACACCTGGGAATTAAGACTCGATTGTTGGAAAGGGGAGAATGCGGAGTTTGGAAATTTCCCCACCTGGAGATGCATTTTGGACGGGACAAGGAATCGAAGCGGAAATGGACATCAGCACTGAATGGGGAAAACTGCCCTCTTGCCTGGTATCTTCCCCGAAACCCTTGCTTCTTCTTGGCAACACAAGAAGATGCCCAATTTAAGATGTCTTATCCTAAATGCAGCCGGTCCGTTTGGTTTGTTGTGTTTCGCAAGCAGCCATTACTTTTTTTTTTTTTAATGATATTTATTAAAAGTTTAAAAATTACAGAAAAAAGAAGAAAAAAATAACAATAAAAAAGAAAAAGAATAGCAAAACATATAAAACATATAAAAGCCATACAACAATACAGCAAAAAACAAAAACAAAAAAGAAACTAAAACACACATCCCGTATTCCATATCTTTACCTTTCCTTTACTTGTTTCATCGACCTCCTCACACCTCCCTTTTTTTGTATTCTAGTTCAATTCACTATTTCAGCAAGTTCTTCCCATCTTTCTCAATTTTTATTCTATAGTTTATCTTAACTGCCTAACCTTGAATTTTTCCAATTTAACCCATTATCAATCAACTTTTACTTGATTCTTTGTTGCATTTCTACTAAAACCATGTAACTTCATTCCAGCATCCTTCTAACACTCATTCATTTTGCAATGTTTCTGTAAGTATACTTTAAATTTTTTCCAATCTTCTTCCACCGACTCTTCTCCCTGGTCTCGAATTCTGCCAGTCATTTCCGCCAGTTCCATGTAGTCCATCAGCTTCATCTGCCATTCTTCCCTGGTGGGTAGATCTTGTGTCTTCCAATACTTTGCAATGAGTATTCTTGCTGCTGTTGTAGCGTACATAAAGAAAGTTCTATCTTTCTTTGGCACCATGCAAGCAGCCATTATACCCATAAAAATAATAATAATCGCTATTAATGATGGTTTACCTTTCTACTCCCCAACCCCTTAGCGGATCATTCCTTTCCCTTTTCCCGATCCAGTTTTGTCCCACGAATCTGGAAAGCCCTAGCAAGAAATTTAGATGCTCTAAAAGCAGGCATGTTCAAGAGTTTGATCGCGAACCACTGGTTGATTATACCCCCAGCTATCCCTCCCAGAAACGAAAGCTCAACAACTTAAATCTGAGCAAAACGTGGTTTGAAATTCATACCCCGAATTTTGCAACGCAGTTCCCCAACTGGCGGATTCGTGCAAAAAATGCATTTGCTCCAGGAAATTATGCATGGAGACGCATCTGTTGGCAAAAGGCACACACAGAAATGTGTTATATCTGTGGAGATCTCCTGGGGGAAATCTGTGTGTCTTAGGCAAAGTTGCATTGAAAAGTTTTTCAAGGAGGGTTTTTGAAAAAATAGCCGTCGTCCAAAAATGACGTGCAGTTGTGGAGAACTGAGTCGGGGGGAGGAAATGAGATAGCAAAATGAACCGACTGCCTTTCCTACCTTTCAGGGATGTTGTGATGATAAAACAGGGTACCGTATTTTTTGCTCTATAAGACTCACTTTTCCCCTCCTAAAAAGTAAGGGGAAATGTGTGTGCGTCTTATGGAGCGAATGCAGGCTGCGCAGCTATCCCAGAAGCCAGAACAGCAAGAGGGATCGCTGCTTTCACTGCGCAGCGATCCCTCTTGCTGTTCTGGCTTCTGAGATTCAGATTTATTTTTTTCTTGTTTTCCTCCTCCAAAAACTAGGTGCGTCTTGTGGTCTGGTGCGTCTTATAGAGCGAAAAATACGGTATGTAAACGCCATTTGTGTCCCCTGGCCCTGACTTTCTTCATAAGATTTGAATGTAAACCACGAATGCTTTCAACAACGGCAAAGCAAAGCTGTAAATTCACCCTTTGGGCAGAGTTAAGTTGTTGCTGTCGCTTCTAGACATTTCCTACATTTTTGCAAGAGGCAGGGTGGCGTGCCTATGTATAAATTTTGATATCATGTACACATTTAGGTAGGCCTATATGTATATATATCTCAGGAAAAAGGAGGCATTATTTAGCTTTCCCGGGATAGACCTTGCTAGCAAGGATGGTTGAATAGAGCTCCCACGTTCATGGCAGTCTATCCCCAATCACATGATGCTGACGAAACATCCTTCAGAAATGAGGGGATCTGTTTCCTTTCCAGACAGTGCCGGATTTACGTCTATGCTAAACAAGCTCTCGCTTAGGGCCCCACTCTCTTGGGGGGCCCCCAAAAAAATAAAGGGGGAAAAAACCCTGGATGTACATTTCCAAAATATAAGATAAAAAGCAAATAAAATAAAACCTACATGCAGCAACCGTGTTTTGTGTTGTGTGGGCTCCTAGGAGGTAAGTCATGGGCCACGCCTGCTCCCTCAAATATCCCTGGTTTGCTCCTTTTTATATATAGGGTGCCGACATTCTGCATGGACTGGTTGCAGGGCAAGATGTGCAAATGGCTTGAGATACCTAGGGGTCCATAAATTGCCATATGGCATATATTCAACCAAAAAAACAGCAGCAATTTGTTGTTGACAAAGGACAGCTGGACATACAGGTGAAACTCGAAAAATTAGAATATCGTGGAAAAGTTCCTTGATTTCAGGAATTCAACTTGAATGGTGAAACTAATAGATGAGATCGACTTGTGACATGCAAAGCAAGATGTGCTTCTACTTCTCAGAGGTCCAATCTTGCTCGATTTGCAATCCTTGTTTTGCTGATTTCCTTGAATATTCTAATTTTCTGAGATGGTTGATTTGGGGGTTTCACCAGCTGTACGCCATGATCATCACAATTATCCCAAATCAAGGCTTGACATATCTCGCTTTGCATGTCACGAGTCTGTCTCATATATTAGTTTCACCTTTCAAGTTGAATTCCTGAAATCAAGGAACTTTCCCACGATATTCTAATTTTTCGAGTTTCACCTGTATAAAGGGCCCCAATACCTTCAGGAGCTGAGGGCCTCATCAAACCTCAATCTGGCCCTGTTTCCAGATGTTGGATTCCACCAGCCCCAATGATCAGGGACGAAGGGTGCTTGCAACATCTGGAAAACTGCCGGTTCCTTGTTCCTGATCTGAAAAGCAGCACTCCTTTCTGCATGCAAGAAACAGAGGAAGGCCTTTTCGATAACAGAGACGTTTCCTCCTGACAGATGCAGACGAATGCAGCTTCTTAAATCAGGGATGGGGGAAAACCTATCAGCCAGTGGGGCTGAAGAGCAGGGATTTCGGGCGCTGGAGTCTGTCAACATCTGGATGGTTTTTGTTTGTTTTTCAACCTGTCGCTCGAAACGCCAGCGGTTCCCCTGTTCGTATTCCAACGCTTGTGAGCTTCCCGGCTGTCCCCTGTTGGAAACAGCGTCCTGGGCTGCGCAGTCACAAGGCTGCTTCCATGGGCGGGAAATAGTTGCTTGCAGAAATAAGTTCTGTTTTCAGGGTTTGTTTGTTTAAAAATAAAAAGAGCAAAGGCATAGGCTGTGGAAATAAAAGGTGTTTTCGAACCCAGCTGGAGCCGTTCTTGATTTGGGTGAGGCTGGCATGGGGTGGGTAGGGGTTTGGGTCCCCAAAACACAAGGGCACACACCTACTCGAGAGGAAACAAGAGGTCTTTAGACAGGCGAATTCAGCATGACAGAGCGATGCAGGAATCAAAACTAACGCCAAGGCACAAAAGCAAGGAAAGAGGTCCATAGATGGACAGAAGCTAGGGAGGTGTCATAGAATTGTACAGTGGGGAGGGAACCCCAAAGGTCATCCAGCCCAGCCCCGTGCAATGCTAAAGCATCCCTGACAGATAGAGGTCCCTGTTATCCTGGGCAGTCCCAGATTTGCAGTAGCCGCCCCGGTTTCTGATCTGATCCTGGAATGTCCTGCTTTTCCTTAGGACGTCCCTATTTCCAGGGGAGAAACGTTGGAGGGGATGGAATAGGACATCCCCATTTTCAGGGGAGAAATGTTGGAGGCGATGGAATAGGACGTCCCTATTTTCACGGGAGAAACATTGGAGGGGATGGAATAGGACGTCCCTATTTTCACGGGAGAAATGTTGGAGGGGATGGAATAAGATGCCCCTGTTTTCACGGGAGAAACATTGGAGGGGATGGAATAGGACGTCCCTATTTTCACGGGAGAAATGTTGGAGGGCAGTGCCAGATTTAGGCATAAGCTAAACAAGCTATAGCTTATGGCCCCGCTCTCTTGGGGGCCCCCAAAAAAACTAAAAGAAAAACCTGGATGTGTATTTCCAAAACATAAGATAAAAAGCAAATAAAATAAAACCTACATACAGCAACTGTGTTTTGTGTTGTGTATGCTCCTAGGATGTAAGTCATGGGCCCCGCCTGCTTGCCTGCTCCCTAAAATATCACTATCACTATTAATATACTTCTTCTTAACTGTATTTCTGTTCAACAACGACTTGGATAAAATACATATTTTGTGATGTGCAAATGGCTTGAGATACCTATGAATGACCATATAGCATCTATTCAACACAAAAAACAGCAGCAATTTGTTGTGGACAAAGGACAGCTGGACGTAGAAAGTGCCCTGTTACCTTCAGTAGCTTAGGGCCACATCAAACCTAAATCCGGCCCTGGTTGGAGGGTATGTAATGATGATGATGATGATTATGGGATGGCAGCCAGAGGGATATGAGCTGCTTCCTAGGAAACGTCTGTTTCTTTCCAGCTGTCTCTGCGTGAGTGGATGAACCCAAAGCCGCCTGCAGAGGAAAAACGGCATCTTCCCTCGCTTCCTGAGTTGGGTTTCCCCTCCAGATCCGTTGCGCAGGAAAAGGCGGCGTTCCTCGCCACTGAATAACCTCAGGAAAAGAGCCCAGGACGGGGGGTGGCAAAGGGCTGCTTCCTTGCTAATGGTCCTCGCCGACTGCGGAGGCTGAGAATAGCCATCCTGACTGGTCAGCCTCGTGGGCCAAATTTTGCCCAGTCCTCTTATAAACGCATCCAAGATGGCGCCTGTCACTGCCGCTTTGCCACTAGCAATGGTTTCCTATTGGGAATAGTGCCAGGAAGTCTAAAAGAAGAGGATAAGACATTATACAGGTGAAACTCGAAAAATTAGAATATCGTGGGCAAGTTCCTTGATTTCAATAATTCAGCTTGAAAGGTGAAACTAGTATATGAGACAGACTCGTGACATGCAAAGCGAGATATGTCAAGCCTTGATTTGGGATAATTGCCATGATCATGGCGTACAGCTGGTGAAAACCCCAAATCAACCATTTCAGAAAATTAGAATATTCAAGGAAATCAGCAAAACAAGGATTGCAAATCGAGCAAGATTGGACCTCTGAGAAGTAGAAGCACATCGCACTTTACATGTCACGAGTCGATCTCATATATTGGTTTCACCATTCAAGTTGAATTCCTGAAATCAAGGAACTTGCCCACGATATTCTAATTTTTCGAGTTTCACCTGTAGGTCGCAGCTTCTCAGGCCTGCATATAGGAGAGTCGTCATAATAGCTCTCCGTAGTAAAAAGCAGAAGTCGGCAAACGTGCCCTCATTTTCGCTCTTCAAAACATGGCAGCCCTAGGTAGGCTTTTAAAAATCTGCCTATGTTTCAGGATAACGACACTATTTCAATTCACATAAGAATATACATTTTTGTACATTTTTTCCCATTCACTCATTTTCCTTCTCCCCCCCCCCCCAATCACTGAACGGGGGGGGGAGAATGTAAATATTAGGCTAAATAGGGGGGAAATCGACCCTTTGGGGGCGCCCTTCCCCAGCACCCTTTAGGGAGCGTAGCTGCATTGAAAAACCGAATTTTGCACTGAAGGCAAGGCAGTCGTCTCCTGCTCTCCTATTATGCTGGAAACTGAACCTTGCAAAAATATTATTTATAGCGGCTGCTAAGAGGCCCCAGAGCTTCCTTGCACACAGACAACGCCCTCTCCTCAAGAAAACCTCTCTCTAGGATGGTGGGGTGTGTGTGTGTGTGTGTGTGTGTGTGTGTGTGTTTGCTTCCCATTAAATACATCCTGGGTTTTGTTCCATTCCTTTCGGAAACAAAGTCTTTAACACAAGAGGGAAATCTGAACATGGTCTTGCTAATGAGTTTTTAGGAAAGGAAAAGGATGTGGGGTTTTTTGGGGGGGGTGGAGAGGAGAGGGAATTGCTCACATCCCCAATAAAGAGGAGCAGGTTTGCCGTAGGGTAATTTGCAGGGGAGTAAATGCCAGAATTCACTCCTGACCGATAAGCCACAATCCTGCAGAGTCGTCCAGGCAAACAGGATGTTTGTTTCAAAGGCGAGGTGATTCATGAATTAAAAGATGATTGATGCAGGTGTTTGTGGCAATGGCTTGGAGTCGCTGGGGGCCAATAAACAGCTGTCCCCCCCCCAAAAAAGAAGAACAAGAGGCCTCCAAGGATTCAGAAAGAGTTCTCAGTCAGCTTCCTGGTCCTGTTTCATAACCGCAAAGCACATTCTTAAATCCTGGGTGAATTTAAGAACATGGGAAGATACAGGGGCGCATTAAAAAAAACCAAAAACCTTTAAGGGGGCTGTTATAAGGAAAAACTGCTCTTTTCTGGGTATCCAAGACCCCTTCTTGAGTCCTTATGTAGGCTTTCTATTGGTAGGAGAAAATAACAGAGGCCAAGCAGAGAATATTGAGAAGCAAAGCGGCTAGTAAGCCTGGTCATTATTGAACTGCTGCAACAGGGTCCTCACTCCCCACATTCTGGAGGAACCCAGAACAATGGGGCGCAAGCCCCTTTATAGACTTTTGAAATTGCCTCCCCTGTAGCTCAAGACCACCCCCCAAAACATCACGCATACATCACAGAAAGAGGTGGTCCTCAGCAGAAATGGGAGTGTGTTGCTTCTCTCCTGTCTGCCAGGAGACCTGATCAATCATGCCTTATCAATTGCCTTTTCTGGGTAGCCTGGCCATTCATTGGAGATGGTCAATACTCAGTTCCTGAATCTCTTACGCATATTGATAAGTGTGCTCAGCTAAACAGATACTTGCCAGACTGTATTTACAGGGAGGTGTAAGCCCCTACAGACCAAAGACCATTGGAAAGCTTTCCCCATTTCCTTCCTCCTTGCAAAGAAATATTTGAGGTCAATTTGGAAGAGTCCAAATGGCTTCAGGATGGCTCTCCTGTACACGTGGTTTATATGCTTATGTGTGTGTTTCCCTTGTACACTTGTGAACACATGGGAGAAATGTTGGAGGATGTGAAGTTATAAAAGATTCCAGGACTAGATGTCCTTCCAATTCTACGAATCAATGAAATCATGTCATTATTATTCATTATTTTCTTCTCGGAGAAGGATTAGAGTCGGGCACAGCCCCTACTCTCTCATTTTAAATCTATCTCACCCGAACAAAAGCAAATCTCCTTTTTCGTAACAGGAAGAGACGCAGAGTCTTGGTCAGTTTTTTACTTCTGCAGAAACGGAGGACTCGGTTGAGGAGAAGACATAATAAAAGGAATCTGGCTTGGACTAGTAGGCAGCCCAAAGTCAGACCACCTTCCTTTCCCAAGCCGAGAAGCGAGGAGGTCAAGTCTTCTGGGAATTCCCGGCAGCTTGGCAGGAAAGGGTCTTTGTGACCTCCATTGTTCCCTGTTCAAACTTGGGGCTGGTGCAGCCAACAGATAAGGGACGCAAAGAGCCCACAGCTTCTTGGAATCCTGATGTCTGAGCGTGATCGATGGCTCCCGTCGACGGATCGTCACCACTTTCCTGGAAGCCGACACAACACACCTAGCCAAGGTCACCCTCTGTGAACTCAAAGACCTGTCGAGGAACAAAGCTGGTCACTGGGAGATTCAGGAGCGATGAGGGGAAAGGCGTCTAGTTGTGGAATCTGAGCCCTCCAACATTTCTACGATGGAAATAGGGACGTCCTATTCCGTCCCCTCCAATGTTTATCCCGTGAAAATAGGGACGTCCTATTCCATCCCCTCCAACGTTTCTCCCCTGAAAATAGGGACATCCTATTCCATCCCCTCCAATGTTTCTCCCATGAAAATAGGGACGTCCTATTCCAAATTAGGTATTTAGACCTATAAATGCAGACAGAATCAGATCTCTCAGCCCTGCCTAGCACCAAGTTAGACAGGACTGGAAAACTCCACCTAGCAGCCCTGTGGCTCCACCTAATGGCTGCCTGGGAGAGGGCATGTAATTGCAGAATTGGAAGGGACCCCAAGGGTTATCCAGTCTGACCCGCTTCAATGCAGGAATCCATGACAGGTGTCCATCCGACCCCTGCTTAGACACCTCCAAGGAAGGAGAGTCTACCTCTTTCCATCCCACCCTCAAATGGCT